CATTGAGGACGTCACCAAGCCTCCTAAGGCACAAAACAAATCTATCGACCCAAATGACCCAGAGTCGAGAACAGAGACCCCAACAACAACAAAAACACCCTCCCAAACAACACAGGGCTCCTGGAAGCTCAACAGAAAGGCAAAGGATGAAATCCACCATGTTCAACATCTGTATCCATGCTGGCACAAATAATCTGAGATCAAGTTCCAATGACATTCAAAAGAAGTCCAAGATTTGATGCCTGCATTGTTTGTGTTGTGCTCATGCCATCCGTGTTAGTCGCTGAATTCTGCTTCCTTCTGGTTTTTCAAAAGGTAGGATTATTCGTAGAGAAAACGCGAAACAGGATTATCCGGAAACACAGCAAGAGAAGTCAAAGCTTTAAACTCTAAAAACAGACATGTAGGCTCGGACATGTTTCATCATGATCACTATTTCATTCTTAATCAGATTATAATTGATCAGAATGGCTTTAGTCTACCTTGGGACAGACGCAGGGACATCCCATCATTTAGGACTGTTTCACATTTTTCAACACATCTGGTTGATCTGCATTGAAGAATATTATGTTTAAATGCTACTGTTATAACGGCTAGCTTTCAAAGAACCTTTGCTGTTCTTTCTTAATGGGAACTGCAGTGCTTTCAAAACTAAGATGTTGCAGAAACATCTCATATATTGTATAATACTTTATAGGAGTTGTTGAAGAACTTGTGCCGTGTTCATGTGGCAACTTCCTTTAATACTTCTTCAAATCATTGTCCCAGTAACACTTTCTTAAAGCTCTTACATCCTATCATCTGACCTGGTGCCAGACGATGCAAGAGATTCCTCAAATCCAATCATCTATGGTCATTTTAGCCAAATGTAAGTGCTTTGATGAACTCTCATTCAGCCAATCGTGCCGTCTTAAACCCTGATGAGTTGTGTGATAATGAAAATGGTCACACGTTGTTAATCTTACAATCTTTTCCATGACTATTTCCACCCAACACGACATAAATACTGCACAAAGGTCTAGAGCAGGGGGTCAAACTCAATGTCATCGCGGGCCACATCAGCATTATGGTTGGTTGTAACTTTAAGACTATCTAACTATATACTTGGCTTTAGTCTAATCTTGGGGACAAACATCCTATCGTTTGGGGACCGTTTCACATTTTTCAAGACATCTGGTCGAACTGCGAAAAAATGTAGTAAAATCCATGTGTTGACTTCATTCAGCAATCGTGCCGTCTTAAACCCTGATGAGTTGTATGATAATGAAAATGGTCACACGTTGTTAATCTTACAATCTTTTCCATGACTATTTTCCACCCAACACGACATAAATACTGCACAAAGGTCTAGGGAGAACCGGCCTCGGAGCAACATTCAAACTTATCTAGAAAAAAAAGTAGTAAATCCACAAAAGTGCCCAGTGCAAACCATCAGGAGCACTAATCCCGATGCCTGGTGTCACACCGACGTCACCCGGATGACCTCCTGCCCCGAGTCCCTGTCCCGCCTCAGGGGGTTGCGGGGCCCCAAACCGTGGCAAAAGGGCCCCAAACAGAGGCAGCTCCATGGCTGGACCTCCAGCTGGGTGCCGGGGCGTAAAGGGCCATCGGGTGCAAAGGTAGTCAATGGTAACCACAGCGTCCTGGGGGAGAGTGCCGATTGGCCGGTGCTCGTCTCCTCCAGGTCCTTGGCTTGTTGTAGCTCTGGACGTCCCAGTGCAGGTTGACGGCCCGCCAGCGCAGGAACACGCTGTACACCGCCGCCCCCTCATGGACGATCAAACCTGGGACACACACAAACATTAAAGGTCACCTGTTATGAAAACACGGACATTTTGAACTCATGTCAATTGGTTTTAAGACTGAAAGGTTCAAATGTGCAGATTTGTGGCAGATTTTCTACTTTTATCTACATGTTCTGAGCCATTCAAAAATGCTCTTTGATCACTCCCAAAATAATGTATTTCATTACGTTTTGATCGGGAGACCCGTGGTGGCAGAACGTATTATAACGTGCATTCAAAGTTTTCCCATCGTGCTGATTCTACGGTGGCTGAGAAGGCAAACGAGAATTACAAAGTTCGAAACTAATTTTATAAAACAAAATTACAAAACACTTTTACCAAGGAAACAAACCTATGTAACAAGATGGGAAACACTTCTATAAAGCTAGAGACATTTACATTTCATAAAACATTTCTCGTTTGCCCTTCTCAGCCACCGTAGGTTCAGCTGCAGACTGGTTTGCAGAATGTTGTGTCTCGTAAAATCTGTTCAGTGAATGTATTTGGTTCAGTCTTGTGACTTCCTGTTTTATTTTGTAGTAACCTCTCCTTCTCGTTGCAGATCACCTCGCTTCCTCCCTTTGTGTGTTTTCCCTCCACTGTGATTGTCGACCCCACCCTGATTGTCTGCACCTGTGCCCCCTTAGCCTGTATACATACTTCCTGGCAGTTTCTCAATCTCGAGGATACTGGCTTCCAAGCCAATATTTCAAGGATACTACGTCATCGAGTGCCGCTGAAGGACTGTTCCAATCTCCAGCATACTTGGAATTCCACAGAGGCTGCGTCCTTGGTTTGGGGGTAATTTCGAGGCTGCACATGGGTAGATTTCGCATCCTTCAAATCCCCACAATGCTTTGCGCACGGACCAATTTCCCCAAATCTGTGGCGGAAAATGTAAGGCGGGGCCTCTCATATGACGCACACCTGCACACTTGCTAGCCTATTCCACTCTTCGTTTTCCGAATGCCAGGAAGGATTCTTGCCTCGCTTCTGAAGGAAGTGACTCAGAAGACATGTGCTACCAAGCCAGCATCCTCGCGATTTGAGAAACGGCCACAGTCCTCCCTTGTCTTGTTGCCAGTTCGTTCGTCCCATGTGTCAGACAGTCAGCGTCAAGTCCATGTCGTCTTCTCGTGGATCGTATTTGCTAAAAGCTAAGAGCCGAGTTTTGGAATTTTTGCATTTTTGAAACTACCTCGGTTACCTTTCCCTCGTAAGAGTGTTTTTTGTTTTGACCTGGTTACCTCTACGGAGCGGTTTTCTGTTGCACAAATAGTGCCCTTTTTCTGTAAAGACTTTCTTTTGTACTTTGTGTGTGGAGTCGTGCTTTGGGTTCATGCTCGTTTGCCTAGTCGTGACTAGGGATGTCCCGATCCGATTCCGATCATTTTGATTTGACAATCTGCCGATACCGATTTTTCCCGATCCGATCTTTATGCAATGCATTAAGAGAAACAAAGGTAACAGATAACGGCTGGTCATCCACCGCGATGAGTTCAGCTCTCTTGCTGTTATTGTTTTGGCCTTTTCACTGTTCTGGGGCCGTTTCTCTTTCCTTTTAGAAGTCTCTGAAAGTGTCGGTTGCTTCAGTGCCGTTACCCGAGTGGCCGCTGTGTACTCGTCCTGTTGGTGTTTGTTTCTCAGGTGGCGTATTTGATTGGTCGTGTTGAACGTAGCTCTGTTCTTGGAACCTCCGCCTTGCAAACATTGCATCTGGCTGTTACACTGCCTTCGCTTTCAATTTCATAATACTTCCAAACTCCTGACATTTTCTCTGTCCCGACTCCCGAGTCACCAGCTGACCGTAGCCTCTCGTTAGCTGCTACTATTAGACACTGCGCCCACTCTGTTGCTTTGAGAGGAATAAACAACCAGGTCTGAAAACAAGCCCAAGCAACACACACATGATGTTGAGTCATTTCAAACCAAAGCGAAGGCCTCAGGATGACTTTAAGACGTGAACATGGTCATTTTTGTTTTGTAACATTAAATAATAATACAAAAATATTGTATAAATAAAAAATCCCGATCCCCGATTTTTTCTCCCGATTCCGATCTTTTGAAAATCACGTGATCGGCTCCGATCCCCGATCACGTGATCGGATCGGGACATCTCTAGTCGTGACACTGGTTTGCAGACTGGTTTCAGACTCACCTACGCAGACCAGGTCCATGAAGCTGTACATGCCGTAGCAGATCTGGAAGAGCACGTCGCGGCGCTGCCACACGGCCTGCGGGCTGAGAGCCGACCACAGCAGCCAGGAGATGCTGGCCACCAGGAAGAGAGAGCCCAGGAACACCGCGATGATCTGCACCTTCTCCACCAGCGTGATGGTGATCGGCTGCCACTGAGAGAGAGAGAGATACACCTGAACATCAGAGGAGAGGACTCTTTAAAGTAGAGACACTACATACTGATATACACCTGAACATCAGAGGAGAGGACTCTTTAAAGTAGAGTCACTACATACTGATATACACCTGAACATCAGCAGGAGAGGACTCTTTAAAGTAGAGACACTACATGCTGATATACACCTGAACATCAGCAGGAGAGGACTCTTTAAAGTAGAGACACTACATGCTGATATACACCTGAACATCAGAGGAGAGGACTCTTTAAAGTAGAGACACTACATACTGATATACACCTGAACATCAGCAGGAGAGGACTCTTTAAGTAGAGACACTACATGCTTGATATACACCTGAACATCAGCAGGAGAGGACTCTTTAAAGTAGAGGACACTACATGCTGATATACACCTGAACATCAGAGGAGAGGACTCTTTAAAGTAGAGACACTACATACTGATATACACCTGAACATCAAGGAGAGGACTCTTTAAGAAGTAGAGACACTACATACTGATATACACCTGAACATCAGAGGAGAGGACTCTTTAAAGTAGAGACACTACATACTGATATACACCTGAACATCAGAGGAGAGGACTCTTTAAAGTAGAGACACTACATACTGATATACACCTGAACATCAGAGGAGAGGACTCTTTAAAGTAGAGTCACTACATACTGATATACACCTGAACATCAGAGAGAGGACTCTTTAAAGTAGAGACACTACATACTGAAATACACCTGAACATCAGAGGAGAGATGGACTCTTTAAAGTAGAGACACTACATACTGATATACCACCTGAACATCAGAGGAGAGGACTCTTTAAAGTAGAGACACTACATACTGATATACACCTGAACATCAGAGGAGAGGACTCTTTAAAGTAGAGACACTACATACTGATATACACCTGAACATCAGAGGAGAGGACTCTTTAAAGTAGAGACACTACATGCTGATATACACCTGAACATCAGAGGAGAGGACTCTTTAAAGTAGAGACACTACATACTGATACACACCTGAACATCAGCAGGAGAGGGACTCTTTAAAGTAGAGACACTACATACTGATATACACCTGAACACCAGCAGGAGAGGACTCTTTAAAGTAGAGACACTACATACTGATATACACCTGAACACCAGAGGAGAGGACTCTTTAAAGTAGAGGCTCTACATACTGATATACACCTGAACACCAGAGGAGAGGACTCTTTAAAGTAGAGACACTACATACTGATATACACCTGAACACCAGAGGAGAGGACTCTTTAAAGTAGAGACACTACATACTGATATACACCTGAACATCAGAGGAGAGGACTCTTTAAAGTAGAGACACTACATGCTGATATACACCTGAACATCAGAGGAGAGGACTCTTTAAAGTAGAGACACTACATACTGATATACACCTGAACACCAGCAGGAGAGGACTCTTTAAAGTAGAGACACTACATACTGAAATACACCTGAACATCAGAGGAGAGGACTCTTTAAAGTAGAGACACTACATACTGATATACACCTGAACATCAGAGGAGAGGACTCTTTAAAGTAGAGACACTACATACTGATATACACCTGAACATCAGAGGAGAGGACTCTTTAAAGTAGAGACACTACATGCTGATATACACCTGAACATCAGAGGAGAGGACTCTTTAAAGTAGAGACACTACATGCTGATATACACCTGAACATCAGAGGAGAGGACTCTTTAAAGTAGAGACACTACATACTGATATACACCTGAACATCAGCAGGAGAGGACTCTTTAAAGTAGAGACACTACATACTGATATACACCTGAACATCAGCAGGAGAGGACTCTTTAAAGTAGAGACACTACATACTGAAATACACCTGAACATCAGCAGGAGAGGACTCTTTAAAGTAGAGACACTACATACTGATATACACCTGAACATCAGAGGAGAGGACTCTTTAAAGTAGAGACACTACATACTGATATACACCTGAACATCAGAGGAGAGGACTCTTTAAAGTAGAGACACTACATGCTGATATACACCTGAACATCAGAGGAGAGGACTCTTTAAAGTAGAGACACTACATACTGATATACACCTGAACATCAGCAGGAGAGGACTCTTTAAAGTAGAGACACTACATACTGATATACACCTGAACATCAGAGGAGAGGACTCTTTAAAGTAGAGACACTACATACTGATATACACCTGAACATCAGCAGGAGAGGACTCTTTAAAGTAGAGACACTACATACTGATATACACCTGAACATCAGCAGGAGAGGACTCTTTAAAGTAGAGACACTACATACTGATATACACCTGAACATCAGCAGGAGAGGACTCTTTAAAGTAGAGACTCTACGTACTGATATACACCTGAACATCAGCAGGAGAGGACTCTTAACGTAGAGACACTACATACTGATATACACCTGAAACATCAGCAGGAGAGGACTCTTTAAAGTAGAGACACTACATACTGAATTACACCTGAACATCAGCAGGAGAGGACTCTTTAAAGTAGAGACACTACATACTGAAATACCCCTGAACATCAGAGGAGAGGACTCTTTAAAGTAGAGACACTACATACTGATATACACCTGAACATCAGCAGGAGAGGACTCTTTAAAGTAGAGACACTACATACTGATATACACCTGAACATCAGCAGGAGAGGACTCTTTAAAGTAGAGACACTACATACTGATATACACCTGAGCATCAGCAGGAGAGGACTCTTTAAAGTAGAGACACTACATACTGATATACACCTAAACATCAGCAGGAGAGAACTCTTTAAAGTAGAGACACTACATACTGATATACACCTAAACATCAGCAGGAGAGGACTCTTTAAAGTAGAGAACACTACATACTGATATACACCTGAACATCAGCAGGAGAGGACTCTTTAAAGTAGAGACACTACATACTGATATACACCTGAACATCAGCAGGAGAGGACTCTTTAAAGTAGAGACACTACATACTGATATACACCTGAACATCAGCAGGAGAGGACTCTTTAAAGTATAGACACTACATACTGATATGCACCTGAACATCAGCAGGAGAGGACTCTTTAAAGTAGAGTCACTACATACTGATATACACCTGAACATCAGCAGGAGAGGACTCTTTAAAGTAGAGACACTACATACTGATATACACCTGAACATCAGCAGGAGAGGACTCTTTAAAGTAGAGACACTACATACTGATATACACCTGAACATCAGCAGGAGAGGACTCTTTAAAGTAGAGACACTACATACTGATATACACCTGAACATCAGCAGGAGGAGGACTCTTTAAAGTAGAGGCACTACATACTGATATACACCTGAACATCAGCAGGAGAGGACTCTTTAAAGTAGAGACACTACATACTGATATACACCTGAACATCAGCAGGAGAGGACTCTTTAAAGTAGAGTCACTACATACTGATATACACCTGAACATCAGCAGGAGAGGACTCTTTAAAGTAGAGACACTACATACTGATATACACCTGATCATCAACAGGAGAGGACTCTTTAAAGTAGAGTCACTACATACTGATATACACCTGAACATCAGCAGGAGAGGACTCTTTAAAGTAGAGACACTACATACTGATATACACCTGAACATCAGCAGGAGAGGACTCTTTAAAGTAGAGTCACTACATACTGATATACACCTGAACATCAGCAGGAGAGGACTCTTTAAAGTAGAGACACTACATTCTGATATACACCTGAACTTCAGCAGGAGAGGACTCTTTAAAGTAGAGACACTACATACTGATATACACCTGAACATCAGCAGGAGAGGACTCTTTAAAGTAGAGAGACTACATACTGAAATACACCTGAACATCAGCAGGAGAGGACTCTTTAAAGTAGAGACACTACATACTGATATACACCTGAACATCAGCAGGAGAGGACTCTTTAAAGTAGAGACACTACATACTGAAATACACCTGAACATCAGCAGGAGAGGACTCTTTAAAGTAGAGACACTACATACTGATATACACCTGAACATCAGCAGGAGAGGACTCTTTAAAGTAGAGACACTACATACTGATATACACCTGAACTTCAGCAGGAGAGGACTCTTTAAAGTAGAGAGACTACATACTGAAATACACCTGAACATCAGCAGGAGAGGACTCTTTAAAGTAGAGACACTACATACTGATATACACCTGAACATCAGCAGGAGAGGACTCTTTAAAGTAGAGACACTACATACTGATATACACCTGAACATCAGCAGGAGAGGACTCTTTAAAGTAGAGACACTACATACTGATATACACCTGAACATCAGCAGGAGAGGACTCTTTAAAGTAGAGACGCTATATACTGATATACACCTGAACATCAGCAGGAGAGGACTCTTTAAAGTAGAGACACTACATATGATATACACCTGAACTTCAGCAGGAGAGGACTCTTTAAAGTAGAGACCACTACATACTGATATACACCTGAACATCAGCAGGAGAGGACTCTTTAAAGTAGAGACACTACATACTGATATACACCTGAACATCAGCAGGAGAGGACTCTTTAAAGTAGAGACACTACATACTGAAATACACCTGAACATCAACAGGAGAGGACCTCTTTAAAGTAGAGACACAACATACTGATATACACCTGAACATCAGCAGGAGAGGACTCTTTAAAGTAGAGACACTACATACTGATATACACCTGAACATCAGCAGGAGAGGACTCTTTAAAGTAGAGACACTACATACTGAAATACACCTGAACATCAGCAGGAGAGGACTCTTTAAAGTAGAGACACTACATACTGAAATACACCTGAACATCAGCAGGAGAGGACTCTTTAAAGTAGAGACACTACATACTGATATACACCTGAACATCAGCAGGAGAGGACTCTTTAAAGTAGAGGACACTACATACTGAAATACACCTGAACATCAGCAGGAGAGGACTCTTTAAAGTAGAGACA